TGTCCCAGATTGGAGAGGGTAAAGACTGGGCTGAGGCGACCTCCCACCCCATGCACAAATTTCATGCACTGGGCCTCTAGTTCAATAATAAAAAGATTAAAACTTACATATTATATATGTATTTATTATGTGATGTAATCTCATTTTTATAGACATAAGGACCTCTTAAAATTCTTAGAAGAATTGGGTAGAATATATATATATTTAAATATGTATTTGTACCCTTTTATAGATGATAGAGCTATAGAGCTGTCCAGAGGAATTTTAGGAAACATAATTGACAAATATATTAAACAAAGGTAATTTCACTAACCACTGAAATATAACCACTTCTAGCATATTCAGTGATAAGAACGTAGCAAAGTAAAAAAAATATATATCCTGGAGAACATATGCATATATATGTAATTTACCAAGTCTAGGCTACCAGAGGAAACTGGCAAAAATTCACTCATTGAAGTGGAAGTGGAGCTCAGCCAAGTCATTAATCTCTACATCCCCTTGTTCTGATTCCAAACCAGAAAGAGTATGGGCCTTGTGTTTTCTGGTAAAGTACAGACCTATGCAACAATCAGCATGTTTTCCTAGACCAGAGCTAGGAACCCCCAACAATGAGGGTTTGTGAGTCCAAACTGGTTTCTCTAGGTGGGTGGTGAAATAATAGCCTACTACAGTCATTCATTCTTTCCCTCAAATGAACCATGTGTCCTGAAAAGTTCTGCTCAGTCACAGGGTAAAATCCCATTTTACATACAGTGTCTAGGTATGTTTGCCCATGAATAAAGTCAGCACACGTGTCTAAACCCCACTAGGAAAGGAGAGCTTAGTTTTACAACTGGTGGGAGACAGCCTTGGTTGATCTTTGTGTTCTCAAAGGCTCTGATGCTCAATTAGTGACCAATCATTAACCATGAAGTACTTAAGCATAAAATGTGAGGAAAGAGAAGACAATGACTGTCTTTAATATCAATTATATTTAGCCTTAATGTAGCTCTTTAGGTCTTTTCCAAAAAGAATTTACAAGGGTGCAGATATAGATATCTTAGGATATCAGAAGTATTCCCCTCCAGTTTGTAAGTGTAGAGAAAAAGAAATCTGTATCTGTAAACATATGTAAATCTAGGAGGATTCTTTTCAAACTTCATTTTTAAAAGCCAGAAATATAATGTAGGAATAGCTTTTTATTTCTTTTTAATCTACTAAGGAAAAACAATAACTTTGAATTTTTACATAAATTCTTAAGGATTATCTTGACTCTCATCCCTCTTCCCACCACCCACAAAGAAGATTAAGGACTGTGGACTTCCTGCTGGAGGAAGTAATTGCTCAATCACTTTGGAATCCACTGGAACGCTTTGCAGTATTAGTCAAGACAGACATATGCAATTGTAAAATATTCCTTTCTTTCCTTAGAGCTCAGAACTAGAAGTCAGTCTCTGATGCCTTCTGCTTGATATGCTGACACTCCAAGTTACACATTGCCCAAACTGGGGACCGATCTTATCTCAGCAAACTCATTGTTGCTTCGATGGGTGCCACCATATTTTTATATTAAACTCACCACATACTTTATATAAACATTTGCAGGATAGATTTGGCATAATTGCCAAGCAGTACTTAAAATAATCTACGTCACAGCTTTTAGGAGTCAAAAAGAGAAAGAGGGTTAATTAGATGTCAGCATGTGAGGTTGAAGAGACCATTAAAACCCTGCAAAGAAACAGGAGAGATTAAAATACAGCTCTAAGTGGCAGCGACTCATCTGCGCCACATTCCCTCAAGTCACTAGTTCAGTCATCCCATAAGCATGCGCTCAGCTCCCACTACGGACCGGACCGGCGCACAGGCTAAGGCCCCTGATGCCCAGAGACCGCCCCTACACCCGCTCAGCCCCAAAGTATCTGCGTTCATGGAATTCTGTAAATTCTGTCAGAAAATGGCAATTGCTTGTTATTCCAGACGAACTCTGTATGACAGTGATTATCCTTGTAGCAATGACAAAAAGTGGTCTTTAAACCGACCCCAACGTATTGAATGCAGGAGAGTCTCATTTTTCTGCCAAGTACAAAAGAGTTTGCTTGGAGTAGGTCTTTCCTTCTTCCCAGTCGCAAAGCAAAAACTCCTCCTACCGCTCCAAAGAAACAAGAAGAAAAAAAAGCCAGTCTTTCAATGGGAGTGTTTAGCGCCGTCTGGGTAGGAGTCGGGCTGCCTACAGCACAGCTGCCAACAACCTTAGGGCTGGGGGCGCAGACGCGGAGCTCCCACCAC